GGTATGAATCTCTTCGTGATCCTGATCAGTGGGATATAATTGAATACAATGATATTACACCTATATTTGAAATATTACCAGATGATTTAAAAGAACAAGTATTGAAAATCTTTGGCCAAAAAATACTTGATGGTAGGTGAATTACATTACATTTGCTTATCATTATCTTAAAATATTTATTTCAGATAATTATTTACTAATTTACATCTACATATGAATACATTGATATAAGTTAAAACTTGCAGAATTATCTATGATACTGAAAAAAAAAAAAAATAAGGCTTATGTTCATAAATTAGAGCATGATATTCCAGATATTGAAAAGTGTCAAATATTTTCAACAATAATGGAAGAAAATAAAGATGGGAGTAAAAGCAAAAATAAAAATTTGTTTAGTACTAGAGTTGAATATATTGGGAAAAAAAGTCCAGCAAATGCAATTCACAAAATTAATAAAGATAAATCAAGGGATAAACATTACTTAAAAATTAGTTATATGATCATTGGATATGGGTTTAGATCTAAACTTGGTTTAGATGTTAAATTCATTGGTGAAGAAAAGCAAATTAAACGTGATAATAATAGATTTATTGCAGAAATTGAAAGACCAACAAATGAAGGGTCAATAATTGGATCTTGTGTGATTAAATCATATCAACATCCAACTAATCCAGAGGATTCAAAAATTATCAGTTTACATTTCCATCCATCAGATAAAAAAGTCTGTATTCACACTTATGACCTTAATACCAAAGAAATAATTGAACCACCCTTGAATGATTGTTATATTCATTATAGGTAAATGTATACTTGATTATTTTTTTTTTTTTATATTTGATAAATAAGCATTTAAAAATAAATATTAACTTATTATTATTACTATTATTATTATTATAAAAGTGCATTTGAATTCTCAGGATCTGGTGAACCTTATGGTAAAACTAGGCTTACTTTTAACTATGATAAAAAATTTTTTAAAATTAATAAAAACTCTATGTGGATAAAATATGACAACTGTACACAAAATCAGTCGATTTTTATGAATCTAATATTTGATTGTACTAATAATCAACATGAACCAGTAGCAAAATCAATAGTAAATGTAGTATTTAATCCTAATGTTATATTTTCAGCACCTTGTGAAAATACTTGTATTTCAGGGAATGATTCTTTCAGCTTTTTTAAAATTATGAAATAGAACCCCACTGGTGATCCAAAGTAAGGTTTTTATAAAAAATCAAATTTATTGGAAAGGGTTAAATCAGTGGCATACAATTTTTTTTTGTCCCTTTCTTTCTGGTTCATATGTTCAATCAATATTAAATTTAGTGTTAGTAAATAATATATTTATTTTGTTAAGTGTGTATTAATTTATTCAACGATATAACTTATAAATGTAATATATAATAATAATTTATAAATATAAATGTAATATAATAATAATAATTTATAAATATAAATGTAATATAATAATAATAATAATAATAATAACAATAAATTTCCGAGGCTCTGGATATATAGAATTTAGTCATGTTGTGTGAGTCAAAAACAAATCGCGTGAATTTGAAATTAAAATTTTGGATGAATACAAGATTCTGATTGCATAAATACCAACAGAAACTTCGCACTTTCAAACATTTTGAACAACATTAGAGAATTCACTCGCATCTTAATCCTTTTTGTATTATTTACAGGAATTCCAACTTCCAAACATTTTAATACCATGGGCCTTTTTTAATGCTACATAATCTTACTTTGTTGTTGCTCGCCAACTTCTATTGCTTTGTTCATAAGTAAGGTGTGATTTTTAATTTGTCAAATTCAATTCATAATAACAAAATTCTATCATCGGAACGAATATCAAAGGGTTACTTGTATTCCAAATGGTTTCGTGCCAGCCTTAGTTTAAATTCTAGCATTAGAAGAAATATTTGAAACAAATTATTATATTCCCAAAGTTTTTATTAAAACACCAAACTCGTTCATCTTATTCCGTTGTGCAATAAAAAATGTTGTTTAAATCCGTTTTCCAAATAAAAGTAATCATGGATTTTCTAAAACAACTAGAGATATACGGATGAAAAGAAAAAAGAGCATCACAACTGAGTGATTAATTTAAAAATCATATTCTTAAAAAAACAAAAAGAATTAAAAGATATCAGAATTTCAGGAAAACCAAAGATTGTCAAAGGATGGTCTTCAAGAACTATTGTTTCTAAAGAATGCGAAATAAATGTCTATGGGCCAATAGATCTTGATATAAACGAACAATTATTACTAATGAAGATATTTCAATTACTCACTATTGTCTTGCGCAGGCAACAAAATTAAATTTGACTAGGTCAAATATGCAGTAAAATGCACTGTTTTAAATAAAGGTCAAACTTTTGATAGGTATATTTTACAAACATTTGGCCATTGCTAAACATTTTTTTTTTGCCATGTTGTGAAGTTCAAAATAATTGCTTTTTATTAGATTAATAATTTACCATGCTCACCTCTATAATGGTACTCTCTATCATAGTGGTTATTACACATGGGAGTAATTACCCCTGATATTTCGACAATTCAACATCACGGCAGTGTAATATATCAAATAAATTACGCTATAATGCTGAATTGCCGTAATGCCGAATTCAATAGCCGATTTGTAATTTCACCAATTCCGGCAATTCATCTTTTTTAATAAAATTTTTTTGGTGGTTTTCTCTTTTTTAAATGGCCCTCAGTATTCATGAAATTTGGATGCTGCATGAAATCCGAAATTCATGAATTCATAGATCAAATAACTAATATTAGAGGTTGAACCGGTTAAAATAGGTTATTATTATGGAGGGTTCACTGTAATAGAACTTAGGAGTATAATGTAACATTATGGCAGAAAATTTTACCCTACACAAGACATGGAAAAATATAGCAAAGGCCAATGAGACCATAATGGGCTTATTGAAGTGTGAGGTTCATGATAAATTTTAAAAGAAATAAAATACAGAGAACACAAAATTTAAATTAGACTTTCTATGGGCTGGAGGTGATGGGGTTGAGGCAGCATATTCATAATCTATTAGATTATGAATCGATTTAGATAGACTATGTATCTACTATGTGCTTGATGACAAGGATTGGTCACATATTGATATGGCTTATTTTTAATTTTTGGCCACATTGATCAGGTAGTAAAAAAAAAATAGTATTCATATGCATCCCAACAATGCATTCACTTGTGTGACATCATTCATTTTTGGGTTATTGAGGTAGAGCCATTTTACATTTTCAACCACATTCAAGTGAGGTGTATTTTGCATTTTTGGAGTGTTAAATCAGTTGTTAAATTGGCTGGTAAAAATTCATGCCCTGCATTCAGGTTCCAAGATGTAACAAACATGACCATTGTGAACACTTGTTCATGTTCAACTTTATGTTGCATTTTTTTCCTGGGAAAGTAAATTTAATAACCTCTACTTATAGACAAAAAAAACACACCAATTTCACTTTTTACATCCCATTTGAATATCAGAATTGAGGCACATAGCACCAAAATAGTATTTGTGATATGGTTTTGTGTGATGTATTCAAATACTGATTGAGGATGACATCAGGAAATTAATTTAGTGTAAACTTGCATAAATCTTACGATGCCGACGTAATATTGTGTAAATCTTACAGTGCCGACATAAATTTTACACTTTTTTATTATTAAACTTACAATTGACATGTGTAAAATTTTTTTATATTTTCCAGATGCATGTCATAAAGGGGTATTACACTTATGTTTTTAATAGTGAATGCTGTAATTAATTTCTACTTTCTACCATCAAAATCACCAAACCAATTTGCGCTACATGATTGACTTTCCATTCCTTTTTTTCTTAAAGGAAGCTCTTCATTTTTTGCCAAGACACCTCTTGAATCATTAGACTTTCACCATGAGTAACTAATATTTGCACTTTTTTCTTTCGCCTAAAACAGGCAGTTTTCCTTCCATTGAATCATCTTCATAAGTTGTCATAAATTTTCAAATCAGCCATTTTTTCAAGGAATATTTTACAACATCACCCATCAAAATAAACACCTTGGTGTGTTGATACTTATAACCTAAAATCTCTAACCAACATAATGCAATACTTGAGCTAATTGAATATTATCTGCAAGAGATTTATCAGCAAAAAATTTTAAACTTCTTTCTGTTATGATTCTTAACCATGTTTTCATCATCAATAATTCAAATGGTCTTTTTGGTGTTGTCCTCTACATGATGCTGGAAGTGATCCAGCTTGGAGTCAAATTTCTAATATTTCTTTCTGTGTATAATGGTTCATCAGGAAAATCAATTTTTATTGGCTTCCTTTTTTCAACAACACTCATCTCTTTTAAATTATTCACAAAGAGCATTTAACCTTTGCTCTACAGGATTTTTATTTAATTTCAACATTCTCAATATCTTCAACATTATCACCATCTCTAATGTCATCATTATCAAGGCTGATTCCTTTAGATGTTGATAGACCAAACCATTTTCTTAATTTTGGAATATCAGCTGCAGCTTTGATGAATGATCCACATTTATCACACCAAGTTGTTTTTTAATTTCTTCAATCATATATGATCCTTGCATTTCTTTTCAACACCTGCATTTTTCTTTATTCTTAATTCTAATGGAACATTTATCAGTTTGTTTTCCAGGTCCTCATATTCACTGTCATCATCATCATCAAGAGAGAACTTCTAATGGTTTATTTGGTGGAAAAAAATCATAGAATTGATACTGAAATTGATGAGAATATAAATGAATATGTACTTTAAATTTGAATGATGTAGAAGGAGAATCAGGTCAATTAAATGATGAGATTCATTGTTGGGTTTTTGTAAGTTGATTTTCTTTTAGAGATACAACCCATTATAAAAATATTTTAGATTTCCTTGGCTATAAAAATATATATTGAAGTTTAATGATAAAGTGGGATTAAAATTAAATTTACAAATCATTTAAAATTGAACTTTTCACGTATTTTACCGGCCAATCAGAGTGATTGAAAGTAAATTAGCCAATAATAATAGAGAACCCTGAAATTTTATATTTTTAATGTTGTCTTTAGATGACGTAAAGAATTTATTAGAGACGGAAAACTAGTGTAATTATAAGTTAAAACTATTGACTTTTGAGTATGGTTGGCAAAACTGGTTTTCGCCCCAAGTAAGAAATAGTGGGTTTTTGCTGCATATTAATGTACACTAATCAGTAATTTGCGATTATTATTATCTTAACGTATTCCATGCTTCCTAGATAAGATTTTCTTTTCTAAAGGAGCAAGCTTGCATTTATGATTCTGGAGACAGTGCTCAAAAGAAAGCAAACCACGCCTAATCTATGCTTTTGGAGGGACAAGAAACTGGTAAATATTGTGGCGTTTTACTTTTTGTTCCCATGTGTCGATCCTCATATGCAGGTGAAAAGTAGTTCGAATCATCAGAGAGGGAGTACGTGACAGTCAATGCTCAAAAAAGCTAGTCAAATTTGAGTAATAAAAAAATATTAATATGGATTTTTCAAATTTTTCAATTAATCCGCGCAATAGGTAAATAGTAAGGATTTTTTTCTCGTTACAAAACCCCTGGAAGAAATATCATCATCACTGGCCTCAAAGGTCCCCCAATCTAGTTTCCAGTCGACTTTTAAATATATTTCGAAAATGTTTTGGTAATAGTAATGCATACTAAAAATCGTCAATTCAAACTTGAGAATTTTTATTATTATAATTAAAATTTTTAAAAGGAAACATTTAAATTTAAAAATTTAAATGCACATTAATTAATTGTTTTTCACGGTCAAAGTTAGGTTTTTTTTCGTTCTCATTGTTGTAATAATGATCTTTCAGTTTTTTTTTTATAATAAATAAATATTCTTGTTATTTCCTTGGCAACTTTCGATTATTTGTGTAACCGGTTTTTTATTCCTGATGATAATTAAGGCGTAGTATTATATGTAGGTAGATTAATAAAAAATGCAAATAAATAAATAATAAAATGCACGTAAAATTTTTCTAAAATAATAATTTAATAAACTCAGAATGTATGCGATGCTTAAATTTTATTCTTAAAAAGATGGATTTAATGTACATAGATTAATTAATATAATGATTTCATACAATTAACATAACCCATATAATCATAAAATTCATTTTTTATCCGATGTGTCACTTCAATATTTTTCCCTTCCTACACAACATACATTGTTCGTTCATTCATCCATCCATTCATCACACATCCAATGATCAATAGAGCTCAACTTTATTTCAACAGTGTTACCAAAATAATATATCTACTGCATGTCAAAATTCAAATTTGACATTAAGTTTATAGTTAACCATAAACAATTCCGATCATAGTTTGTGCTCAAGAAAAAATTTTTTTACGATCACAAGATTTACGATCCTTTAATCTAGAAACCAATAAAAATAAATAGTTATCTTTGACTTCTCTCTCACTCTCCAATCATGGCTGTGTTGTTGATGAAATAATTCATTGTGACAATAATTAATTTTAATATATTGTGATGATTGTCGAATTATGACGAATCGAAGAATTATTTCCAAAAATAAATTTTTGTCTATTTTTTTTTTTTTTTAAAAAAAAAATTGATTCTTTAAATTATTACTTTTGATTCTTAAAGTGAATGATGATGAAATTGTTTTCTTTCGTGTTCAAGTAGTTGCGGTTGATCTGCTTTGGACAATTTATCATTATCATTATTATTATTATTATTATTATTATTATTATTATCATCATCATTATCATTCCTCGTATTAAAGGTCGTAATTGTTAAGAGGATGGCAGTGTAAATTATTTATAATTTTTACAAGCGGATATTTTCCATCCATAGTGACAATAATAACACAAGAAACTTGAAATTTTTTTAATCTGTAAAAATTTTTTAATGGCTTAGTTAATTTAGTTAGCATAAATTGACAAATTTATACAAATTATAGAAATTACGATTAATGCTATATTTACTAACTTCTCTCTGATAATGATTGACTATTAAAGAAAAGAAATTCTCGCGTGTGATTGTGTGATTGCAAAAATAAAATAATATTAATTCGATCTGATTATCATTAGAAATAATTAGATTGTCCCCTTCCCAATTAAATCTAAATTGGATAATTGACTTCTATTTCCTTTTTTTAGTTAACCAACAAATTACCAATCAACAACATCTTCAAGATGGATGATAAATAATGAAGTGGATGATGGAGGGTGTGGGGATAAAAATAAACAACAATGTGAGGTTTTAATTATACAGAAAAAATTTAGAGGCTTATGAACATTCCCACTAAGAAGTAATGTTTAATAACGACTACTTAAAATACAACTCACCTTTGACTTTTAAAGTAATGCTGGTGGACTAAGCCCGTTGATGACGATGGTTAATCACATAAAATTCATTAAAATCACATAAATATTATCACTTTCAACTTTCAATACTTTCACACAGACTTAATAAAATTTTTTTTGATAATCAAAATAAATTTTTAAATAAATTTTTTTAATAATTAATAATGATTTAAGTTTCCCAGTTTTTCGTATAACATAATAATTTCACATAATAGTTTAGAATAGAATTGTATAAATAAACAAGTTTGAAACAATATTATCGTCTCTTTTGGTAAATCACATTTATCAAATAAAATACCTGTTGAAAAAAATTTTGTATTATATTACTTTAATTTAAAAAAAGTAATATAAATAGGTTGAATACAGAAAAAAAAAATTTTTTATTTGATGCAATAATAATAATAAAAAAAAAAAAATCCCAACAAAAATAATTTTTAATGTTCAAGATAAAATTATAAAGAAATTAATTTTTTTATGTTCAATTAATTTTTATGTTCAAAGAAAACAAATTATAAAAAAATTAATAATCAAAAAAATATTTATTTAATAAAATAATAATCATAACGGAATAATATTAATCATAATGAAACAATTAAAAGAGACAGTTGGGGCTTGTTCCGTCTTAGCTCTTGGTCGCCCAAGTCCTATTCCACAATCAAGCTACTCTCCAGAAGAAATTCAAAGAAAATTTATGACTTATTACAATCCTGATAACATCAATATCAACTATCCCGAGAATCAATTCATCGAATCTCTTTCTATGACAAACGAAAATTATTTTTATTATCCTCCTCCATTTTTTGCATTTGACGCTCCCGCAACCACTCCCATAACCACAAGCACCGCCACCACCACCACCACCACCAATAACACAAACAACAATAATTTGTCTCCAATTTCGCCTCCTGAATCATGTTCCAATTTGAATGATCTTACTGAAACCTTTACTTCTACGTCTCATCCTTCTGATTTCACAAATACCAGTAACAATGATCACCATCATCACCACCACCATCACCAACATCCTTCATCACTACCAATTAAATTAGAATCCTCCAGATGCCCTCTAGATCATGATTATAATATCGCTTTATCATTAACGAAGGATTTATCTATAAATTCCTTATCATCTTATTCTCCAACAGGTAAAGAATTTTGATTAATTAAGTTGTTATAATTAATAGTTAATTATACAGATGATGATGATGATTATTAATAATATCAATTCCCCTACCTTTCCCCTTTTTTTGTCGATCAATCCAGGTACACCAATGCTATCTCCGTTGACTGATTGTTTTTCCTTGCATAATGTTGTAGAACCATCATATGTTAATATTTTATCACCAACTCCTGACTCAATAATATCAGAAGAAAAATTTACATCTAACCAATCACAAAATGATGATCATCACCAATTATTTGATTTAGACGCTTTTACATTTGATGCAAGAGACTACTTCAATTTTGAAAGTTTTGTTTCTGACGCCGTACGACGCAAATCACTTGACGATGCCATTTTTCTTCGTAGGATTTCTTCTACAACACCCATAAAATCTGAAATTTCATTCCAACAACAACTAAATCGTCGTAGATCTTTACCAAGCGAGTTTTCACAACAACGTATTCAAATCGAAGATGATTTTTCCCAAATAACAGCCATGTCTACATCATCGTCATCATCGTTGTCACCGTTGCTACCATCATCATCATCATCAACGATACCAACACCTGCTTCAACGTCAACACCACAGAAAACAACAAAAACTAAACAACCAAGAAAATCATCTAAATCTCTTGCACCATTTGCTTGTCCCCATGAACATTGTTCTAAAACCTTTACACGTCAATACAATCTAAAGTCTCACCTTAGAACTCACACGGATGAACGTCCTTTTATTTGTACTTATCCTGGGTGTCCCAGAGCTTTTGCAAGGCAACATGATTTAAAGCGTCATCAAAAATTACATTTGGGTCTTAAACCACACGTTTGTGGTAATTGTGGTCGTGCTTTTGCCAGGTTAGACGCATTGAATAGACATCTAAGAAGTGATAATGCTGCTCAATGTGCTCAAGTAACAATGGCCAATAATAACAATTCTTCAATTGGAAAATTGTTTAAATCTAATAACATATGATAACTTTATTAATGAATAACAAACAAAGAAAGAAAGAACAATAGTACACAGAAAGAAAGAAGAAAGAAAGAAAACGTGTAAATAAAATACATATCATCATCATCATCATCATCATCATCATCGTCATTATCATCATCATCAAATAACGTTAATTTTTTATTATATTATTTTATTTTTGGGGGGTTTATTTAGTTGTAAATTTTATTTTTATATTATTATTCTGTTGGTGTGAAATGATAAAATTCTTGCAAAAAAAAAAAAAAAAAAGGAAAAACTTTCTGAAAAACAAAAAAAAATCCATAAACAAACATAAAATACATTTTTCTCACCATTTTTTTTTAATTATAAATATTTTTTTATTTTTTGACTCTTGTCAAATTTTTTTGTAAATTAAAATTTTTTCTTTCTCACTAGACAAAAAAAAAAATTTTTTTTTTTGTAAATTAATAAAATTTAAATGTCAAAAGTTCTTAAAAAATATTTATTTTTTTTTATATATAATATATACATTTTTTTCTTTTTGTATATTTTGGTTCTTTATTTGATTTATAATTTTTTTCCCCTTCTTTATTTATATTTTTTACCATTTTTTTTTTGTATATAGTTTATTTTTTTCTTACTACTACATTTAATTTTTTTTACACTATTTATTTTTATCACTATTTTTTTTAGATTTTATTTCCAAAAAAAAAAAAAAAAGATAATTATCATTTTTTTTACGAATATTTTTTTAATAAAAACCAGAAACAACAAAAATTTATATATAGTACAAAAATATTTTAATCTTAAAAAGGAAAAAAAAATCGTGAGTGCTAACTAAATTGTACGAAAAAAATTAAACATAGAGAACGAATTACCATAAAACGTATCATCATACAATTGTTTGTCCATTTTTATTTATACAACAAACAATAATGCAAAACAACAAATAAAGACAACGACAATGAGATCAATAAAATAAATATAAATCATAATAAATCATCAAAAATAGTATTTTTATATTAAATAAAAGCTTTATTCAATGAATCTAAAAAAAGAATTTTCCATCTTGGATAATAATTGGGATTATTTAAAACTTTATTAATAGTTCATTGTTAGGAACTATAGTAACTCCTGTAGCAACTTTACGGTAAAAAGGAAATCATTATTATTATTTCTTTTGAAAAAAATTATCACGATTGTAAAGTTATGAGAATCATGTGTCTTGGGTGTATCTAGTTAATTCTGGTCAGATAGGTTATGCTTGCTCTGTTTACTGTTACTAACAATAATATTACCATTTACTACCATACTATACTACATTACCATTTATTACCATCACTATCACGTTAAAAGTCGTTAAGATAGGCTGTGTATTGTTTCTTTCTCCGCTACGACAGTTTTATTTATTATATAACCATTTTTGATTTAGTAATAAATTGTCTCAGGCTGTGCAAAAAAAGATCATTTCCTCTCTTTTTGGTTTACTTTTTCTCAACAATTATGTATTATTTACTTTTATATATTTATAGAACATAATACGAAGCAGTGACGATGTTGTTGTTGATCACAATAATGGCGTTGATGATATTATTTAACTATTTAAAGAATCTTGGAATTAGATTTTTACAATTTATTAAATCAAATGCGACGACGCTCCATATGTATGAACAACGTTACATTCACACAAATAATTCTACGGTGTTGGTGCAACAATAACAACAACTTTCAAAATAATAATTACTATTCTAAATTTTATGATAGTTATCTTTCTAATAATAATAATAATTCAATGGCTATTGTCAGATGTTGAAAGGATGTCAGTTTCTGATTGGGATTTCTGAATAATAATAATGGTGATAAAGTTTTATTAGAAAAAAAAAGAAAAATAGTCAGATTGAATTAATCAAGATCTTTCAAAATTCACAAAATTTCTTTGCACAGTTATAATATTCCAAAAATCAAATTAATAGTCAATAATTAGTAATATAAATTAATAAAATAAAAATATTAATCATAATTGCTATTACTATTACTACCTATTATTATTATTTTGACTCTTAATTTTGATTCTTTTGAAGTAACGTCTTATGCCAAGTAAAGTGTAAATTTATATGACTACTATACTGTGTTGTTTACTTGACTAAGAAATATTTTGTAATTCAATTTTTGCATGATTCACAATTTATCTGATTCCTTTAAAACAAACAAAAACACATATACATTTAAATTTTACATTACCTGACCAATTTTTATATAAAATTTATATATGCAAGTGTCTAATCAAATCACATCTCTCTTAATTTTTGTGCAAGTTTTCCATAATCTGTAAGAAAATCAGACTTTCGAACAATATCCCAAACTTTAAAAGCACTTCTAAACCTTCAAAAAACCACGTATCAATAAATATAAAAATAAGTATATATATATATATATATATAAGTTGCCTTGATAAATCTTTACCATTCTCTTTCAGAAACTTGTCCTTTTTTACCATTTCTTTTGGGCAATTCAAAAATTTGATTTTTTAATGATTCAGTCAGAACAGAAAATGTTTCTGGTGCACTCAGATAGTTCAATCTACCAAATATTTCTGATTTATTATTGCTATTGTCATTGTTGTCATTATTGTTGTTGTTAATAATATTGCTACGGAGTGGACTATTTTCATAGGGCAAAAGAAATAAATTTGGTGACGACCTATCTTCTAAACTTTTATACATTGTTAATGTTTTTGATAATGAAAGAGTTCCTATTTTTATTAAAAAAATAAAATAAATAATGGATTTAAGTATATAATATTATTATTTTAGTTGGATTTTTTTTTTTACCAAAAATTTTCAAATTTGATTCCTGAAATAAATTTTCCAATATATCACAAATCAAAGAATACTTAGTTGTTGTAAAATCACTTGGAGAAGTTTTATTACACACCAACGCTAAAAAAAATAATAATAATGATTATTATTACAACAATTTAAAAACTTTATTTTATAATATTTCACTTTTTAAACATCTACCAATATCAGGATAATATTCAGCACCAATATCAGCGGAAGGTAAAGAAGGAATTGATGGAAATTCCGGAATTCGATATTTCAACATTTCGGCTTTTTTTAAATAATTCCACATTGTATAATCAATATTTTCAGTGACTACTATTAAAACATTGCACACTGAATATAAAAATACTAAAAGTTGTAATGACTAGATATGTGTGTGTGTATATATATAATAAAAAAATAGCATGTTATTATTATTATTTATCATCATCAATTTTATCAATATCATATAATTGATTACTTGAATTTCAAGCCAGAGTTCAGGTGATGTGTTATCAGGAATTTGATCGTTTCTAATTGTTTGTTCAAGGATAGAAAAACTAAAGACTGGCTAAAAAATAAAAAGTCAGTTAATTATTTTTTTACCCTTCCTTTCACCAAAATAAATAATTTTTTTTCATTTACCTGAGCATCCAAAAGTATAATTCTTTCAGGAGTGACATGAATATCAATGCCATTAGTTTCATGACTAGCAAAATTTAATGAATCAATACTTTGAGAAGGAAAAGCCTATATAATAATTATTTAATAATAAAAATAAATAAAAATGATATTAATTAATGTGTAAAAATAATATCAATATACATATATATTAAAAATGCAAGTTATTACATTTTGAGGATCTTCACATAAAGATGAAATAATTGTAGATTTTCCTACACCTTGAGGCCCACAAACACCAACAACAAAATGACCAGGAAGATCACTTAAGATCTATATACACACATATTTATATTTAAATAATTAAATCTAAATGTAATATTGTAATATTTATGTGCTTTTAATTCTACATACATTTTCTAACAAACCTTTATAATTAAATCATTATTAATAAATGAACCTCGATCATCAATCATCTTAATAAATGGTTTATCAAAAGATTTAACCGCTGCTGTTGCTGTTGCTGTTGTTGATGTTGTCGCTGCTGCTGTTGATGGAACTTTGCTCTCTAAACGTAAACCATTATTAATTAACGAATTTCTACGAATATGATTATTGTTACTACTATCAATAATATTTTTTGTTGTTGTTGTTGTTGCTGCTGCTGCTGTTGTTGTTGTTGTTGTAGCTGGTGTGGTTGTAAATATATCATCATTAACTGACTGAGCAACAGTGGTATGTGAAGTGATTTCTTCTAAAGCTTTAGTTACTTGTTTTGAACTTGTTGCTTCAGTTTTTTGAATCCTACGCTCAAGGATAACTGGTGCTTGATAAAAGGCCTTTGGTAAATTGTCTGGTGTTGGAGTTGTCAACGGTCCCACAGAATCCTAAAAATAAGTGGGTTGTTTTATTTTTATTTTATCTACAATTGACAAAATAGTAAGAAAATCAAATCTTCGTACTTTTGATTTCCTATCACGTCTTCTTCCTTCACCACGTGAACGAGGCTCTCTTCTTCCAATCTTAGAGTGACTGCTACCATTATTACCACTCCCGCCACTATTTCCACCCTCTCCAGCTGTTTCACGAAATAATCTTCCCCCTCTATTATCTTCAATAAGTTCATCCAAATCACGAATTGATCCACCTCTTGCCATTATTATTATGTTAATAAAAAAATTTCAATTTTGAAAATCTTTACTAATTAAATTTTTGTCATTTGAACTTTTTATCTGTAAAATACTGCGTCATTGCATTCTTAATAAAAACTTCAACATTCCTACTTTATGGAGAAACCCTTTCTATTCCTGAAAACAGCACCAAAATATTTTATTAATTGTAATATAAGAGTTTCTCGGTAGAAAACAACTTGACCATCTTTAGTCTTTAGGAGATATGACAAAGTTTATTGTTTAAAAAGAGATTAGTAAGTTTTATTTTAGATTTTTCGAAAACTTACAATAGTCAATTTAATAATTTTTATAATTTAATTATAAATTCAAGATTTTTTTTCTACGCATAACTAAAAAATACGTGATGCGTCAAATAAAACGTGCAACATGTAAACTTTGAGAACCCGTACGTATTTATTTTCTGCATAATAATAATAATAATATCGACGTATATTTTTTCATATTTCTTGAAAATCTTCAAAAAGAACTTTTTTTTAATACCGGAAATCTGCAATTTGCAAATATCCTCTTTGTTATGAGCTCCACTAAACTGAATTTTTTGGGAAGCAGGAAAATAAAAAACCATTGTAAGGAACAATTTTTGTTCGTAATTTTTCTTTGGAAGAAAATACTTTTTAATCCTGAATTGATAAATAGTACTCGCGTGCTTATATTATGACTTTTTAATAATATTTCCGTGAGTTGAATATTTAATCGAACATCGCATTTTTTAATTATACACGATATATTATTCTTTGGACTTTCACCTATCGGTGATATTTTAAATCAATCGAAACAACCCAAAGTTGATAGGAGTAAAGCAAGCGAAGCAGTCATGTAATGAACATTTTCATGTCTTCAAGTTTCTACCTGCCTGTGATATATATCTAGATAATTTAGCTCATTTTGAAAACATCATTTTAATTGCATCTACATATCAAGTGACCGACTATTTAGTTTTCTCATTGTCTACTGATAGCGTTTCAGTTCACTCAAAATAATCTCCATCAAGAGGATCAGTAAAAATGAAACAAATGCTTAAAGCAATAAATTGCAATTCATTTTCATATACTGTATCATGCATTGACTGAGTTTTCACCTATTGATGTGATGTTTAAGGTCATCCAATAAAGATTATATTGATATTAATTCCCTATGTCAAGGCTACGAGTGCTACTTTTCTAGAATAAATAGGTCAGTAGGACTTACCGGCGCAATAGTCAGCATTATTTGGGACATACTCCAGACAAAGTGAACATTATTATGTCACAAAGGAATTCAGTGATCAAAATTATTTAACATCACAAACCAATATAAAATAATTGGATTTTGTTTTAAATGCACATTTACTATTGATTACATTTTTCTAGAGCCAGTAGCAAAATCAATAAAACTAAACTAATAAGCCACGGATATGTTTTTTTCACTAAATTTACTTTTGAAAAAAGCAATTTTATTCACTATTTATTTTCATAAGTATTTCAAGACATTGTTATTCTTTGTTCTAGAAGTTATTCCAACAGCACATATTGAATATGGCATTTTATGTCTCGAGTCTTTACAATTATGGTGTAATCTGGCTTTTTCAAAAATAACTACTTTTCTGATTTCTTCAACAACATTAATTGTTTTCTGCAGATGGATTAGCAAAAAGCACACCATCACATTATTGAAAAGATATGAAAGATATGTACAATATTTAAAATAACCTCAACAAAGTAACAATCTTTTCAATCGTTGGTAATTGGTTGATAGCTTGTAGTAATTTTGTTACTTGAAGTAATCCAAGATGGGAGATGAGAAACACCAAAAAGTACTCACAATTTTCATGTTCTGACTCCTGCTTTAAATGCTCTATTAATAATTAGGTTCTTGGCTTTCCAGTCAATTCTATAAACATTATATTTGTGTCCTAATATATTCAAAAAGTTGATTTTTGCCTTAGAAATAGTTTCTCAATCATCTTTATATATTTTACCATAATATGAATTTCCAGAGTAAAAAATGTTTTGTATTTGCTCTGTTGTTTTCAAGCACTTCTTTTAGTAAAACATCACTCATTGCAGCAACAAAGTCAACTTTATCACTCCATTTTTTTGATTTAGCTGCCTTAGGCAGTTCTCTGTGGCTTAACCCAAAAAAAATAATAATGATATTTAGTTGAATAACTCAAAATCAGAGTTTTTAGCTGGCTATCTTTCTAATTTAAAATAGCTCCTAAAATTACATAATCCAGAATTGTTTTGTCTAAAATCAAAATAAATATTATTGGCTAAAAATCATGCAGATATTTCATTGAAAGAGCTTTATTAAATGGTCATGCAACTCCCAAAACATGTATTATCTGTATTTTTACTACTTTACAAGCCTACCAAAAAATAGTCAATAGTTTCAATTATAATTATAAAGTTACCAGAAAAATGGACGCTTACATTTAACATTTAAAATCTATCATGCCTAAGGCTCCATATGAGCCAGCTTGTGAGGAGCTTAATCATGCCTCTAAAGTTGGTGTCACCTGAAATTGATTTGAAATTCTCCAACCAGTTGCAACCTATATAGGTTGAAGCATCCCAAATTCATCAGAAAATTTTTCCTGCTGTAATATTATGTCCATAAATTTTAATATGCAACATTGTAATATTTGCATAAAAATTATGTAATATTTACACTGGATGTAATGATTCTATAATTTTTACAGGGCCCACTGTAAACTTATGTAAATATTGTAATAATCACATAAATCCGCATCAGAAAAAAATCCTGATGTTGCAATTCTTAGTTGCAGATACCAATTTACAGGCCTCAATAATTCTTGGTTTAAATAAGCTGTTTTGACCAGTGATAGTATATTAACCTATTGAGGCTAATATCATAAATTTCCCTCTATTATAAATAAATATAGTAAAAATAAATAAAGTCAGTAGCTACCATTGTTGTTATTAAAGAAATAAATTTACATTTAATGAAATTTGCCCAGATCAGTATTAATTAAATCCTTTCCTTAACTTGTGGATCATGAATTAAATCTTGGAGATTAAAAAAACTTGTCATATGATAAGTCACACTCTTAAGGAGTATATATGAAACCAAACTGTTAGATTGAAACAAGGTCAAAATTGATTTTACTAAGTAATTTTTGACTTTGGAAATTTAATTTCAGTTTCATGGTATAGTCAGGAGACCTTTAGTCAACATATTTGTGAATGAATTACTCTTCACTCACTGATAGTCATTCAAGATTGAAAACACTTTATAATATGCATGAAAATATTTGTAAAAAAGAACCAAGCATCTTCTCATTGCATTAATTTCAGATTATTCTTGATGTAAAGGAAAATACAAAAACAAAATATTCAACTTTTGGCAGAAATTCAATGACCAAAAAACCACCACTTCAATAAATATTTTTTATTGACTTGAGACAATTAATCAAAATAATAATCTATTCAAATCAAACCTTTGTTATTAAATCTATCAAATTAAAGAGAGTTTAACTTTCCTCTTCTTGTTTTAAAATCATTTATCATTTCAGATCAATTTCATTTTTTTGAATTTGATGTCTTCTCACTTAATATATAATCCCAAAATACACTGCAACAACATGCTTAAAAAATTGGTTTAGCATGATCTACACTTACTGAAGAAATGCTTCTTAAATGGAACTTTGTTAGGGTAAGTTCTTAAATTTTTTGAAACATTTGTGCCAGTGCTTAGCATCCAATCTGACTCATCTGCTTAATATTTGATGTCAGAGGTACATATCTCTTGTTCGTTATTCATCCACATTAAAGAGGAAGGTTGATTAGTACCAGAAATGTGAAGTTGTTTGACAGATCTAGTGATCACAATCATCATATTCATGAATATTCATTAAGGAAGGTATTCTTTATCAAAACATCCAAAAACCTCTTAATGAATATTCATGAATATGACGATTGTGATTCATAGACCAATACAACTTATTAATTTCTTCTTTTGGAAAACTTGACAACCCCACATAAAGAAAAAGGACTGACTTAAAATACAACATGCTCCTTGCAAATCAATTAAAATTATACTTGATCTTCAAATCATTTACTTTTATTCTTGTCTCTGGTTGAGATGATGAAAACAATGTTGCTGTTACTATTGATTTAATTTTTAATTGGATGCACCTACAAAAACAGAAACATTGTCATTGAATTTTGGCTTGAATACAACATATGCTTGGAAGTTGAACCAAAACTATATACTTCCACATCCACATTTATATCTTCTAGACTTCATCATCAGATTTTTCTCCCTCATCATCATCAGACATTCTTTCCTCGAATTCTATGAATTGCAAGAATTAGTAAGCATCATTAAATATAGATCCACTTACTGAATTAGTATAGTTGTTTGCCATAATTGTTTTTGGAGGAAGCGATTATGGCAATAATTATGGATTATCAATATTTTTATCATCAGGAAATTTTTCTGATGCAAATTTACATAATTATTACACTACTTGTGTAAGTTTATGTCAGACCCATAATATTACAGTCAGGGATCTTTTCCAAATTTGGAATTTTTAAATAATGATATTAATAATTATTTGAAATACTCATGACTATTCAAAATCCCATCCATTACCAAAAGTCATCTGATGTATTTTGAATATTCATAATTATTTTGGATATTTGACTATTCAAAAAGGGGGATTAATGATCAGAAACACTTCTCATGACATTTTGAAATTGCCATATTTATAGAAATAAAATGAAAAATTTCAAGTGGTGTTGGATTATTTATCATCCAATTAAACTTTTTTTTTTCCTGGCATGTTTGACATGGTAAAAAACTTGGTGGCTAAAGAAATAATGGTGAGTATCTTATTACAAAGTTAATCAAGCAATTACCAAAATGGAAGTGAATATTCTTCACACAAAGGTCATTCACTCCCTGACACATTGGTGTAGGAAATAACCCTTTCATGGTAACTGGACTTCTTCACTGCTTAACAAGAACTAGAGTATGTTTTATAAAATCATACTTAGGCTGACAAAATAAAGTTAGAAAAAAAGCAAGCAGTTAAACAAGTTAATTTATAAAGAAAAAAAATTTTGACTAATTAGAATACAGACTTTTTGAAAAAAAATTATTCCAATGGAATGTTGAAGATATTAAGTAAAATTGGCTTTAATTGGTGACCTTTGAGGATGTGCAGACAAAATTCAATGACAACATATGTTGGTTTCTCCAAGGAAAATTTTATAATCTTATATAAGTTAAAAAGCAAATGGGGGCTGTTCTAGGAAAAAGTGGGTTTCTTCAGATTTTTTGTTTTTGAGATATTCATAAAAACAAAAAGCAC